ATTTTGGTGGAAAATCTTTATTAAATTCCTTTTGTCTTAAGACTTTTGAGGTATGGGTGTAAATGCCAATTCACGCTGAGAACCATAACTATAATTTGCATCACCAACATATTTGTATTTTATTACTCCGCACTGCAGTTTTGTCATTTGCTGCTTTAAATGCTTGAGCTCTTTAAAGCACTGGCTGATATTGGCTGTCACTATCATTCATCAGCTGGAAATTCACCGCTGCTTTTTCAGCATCTTGTGCTTGAGCGCTGAACTGAAATGGCATTTGAAGCTGCTCAACTTGTAAAAAAACCCAACTTTTTTTAATCTTGTGGAGTGCAGGACCCACCATTCATCATCAGACTATAGAAGGACTGCAGATGTTAGAATAGTCTTTTCTTCCCGACTGTGACGTTAATCCGAGTGAAACAATTTCTGGAACAAGAAAAAAATGTTGGGCGGGACTTTATGGGTAATAGAGTGATGCAGAGATGACGTCAAAAGCCAGAATACAGTGGTTCCCTCAAGATTTTCATGAAACTTATTACTTTCTCTTTGAATCGCAGAAAGTAAAAACATGGCCGGGAAAAAGTCACTCAGATTCCTGACAGTAGTGTGGTCTTCATAATTAGCATACTTGGTGTTGTCACGTCACGTTACTACACATTAACATGAGACAAAGCAATGAACTGAAAGAACTGAGGGCTTCAATACACATCAATCAACAGGGACACCAACGAGGGAACTCAGACAAAACGGAGGAAACACACACACTCTAAAAATGCTTGGTTGTTTTAACCCAACTTTGGATCAAATATGGACAAACCCAAAAATTGGGTTAAAAATATAATTTAAAAATTTTAACCCAATGGCTGGGTTTGTCCATATTTGACCCAAAGTTGGGTCAAAACAACCCAGCAATTTTTACACTCTAAACAATGCTGGGTTGTTTAACCTAGATTTGGGTCAAATATGGACAAACCCAAATGTAGGGTTAAAAATGTAATTTAAAATTTTAACCCAACTTCAACTTTCACTTTCAACTGTAATCTTTTAACCCAACATTTGGGTTTGTCCATATTTTACCCAAATTTGGGTTAAAACAACCCAACAATTTTTAGAGTGGATTGAAAACGAAACCATGACAGAATACACGTAACATGTGTGAACAATCTTTAAATCTGGTGTGCCAGCCAAAATACCCACTTATGAGAATGAGCAATGACAATGAGCAGCTACCGAAATCATAAAAACTATACAGTTCTGTTCACTGGAACCATTTTCAGACACTTGTTATGTTGTACAAGTCATGAAAGAGTATTAAAACCATGACACAATGGCTTCTCACACTAATAAAGCAAGAGTGAACCACGAACCATAAGAACACATTCTGAGGCATGGGAGGTTTTGTCTTCTGATTAGCCTTGAGGAAAAATGACACAGAATTACTCTTTGAAAATTCCCCTCATTTTAGGAGAGGGTCTATCTATTTATAATCTACATCTAGCCAGACTTAAAGGATTAGTTCAGTTTTGAAAAAACTTTTACTGATAATTTACTCACCCCCATGTCATCCAAGATGTCCATGTCTTTCTTTCCTCAGTCGAAAAGAAAAGGTTTTTTAATGAAAGGTTTTCATTTAAGGTTTTTGATGAAAACATTCCAGGATTTTTCTCCATATAATGGACTTCAATGGGAACCAGACGGTCCAAGGTCGAAAAGACAGTTAATAACAGTTTCAGATGCAGCTTCAAATGTCTTTAAACGACACCAGACGATGAATAAGGGTCTTATCATGCGAAGCGATCGGTTATTTCAAAACTTATTCCAAAAATGTAACTTTTCTAAGGACAAATGCTAGCCTTGCTCTATTCTGTGAGGCGCGTTTGTAACGTCACGTAATGCGTAATTACGTTCAAAAGGTCACGTGCGACGTAGTCGGAAGTACAGAATCAAAATCGTCCGAAATCGTTGTTTTACCTTTTAATTACTTTTTTTTTTTTGTAAACCGCGTTTTGAGTTAGTTTGCACGTTCAACCTATGCGTTCAACTTGTAAACACTGACTCTGTACTTCCGGCTACGTCGCCCGTGACCTTTTGAACGTAATTACACATCGTTAAATAACCGATCGCTTCGCATGATAAGACCCTTATTCATCGTTTGGTGTCGTTTAAAGACATTTGAAGCTGCATCTGAAACTGTTATTAACTGTCTTTTGGACCTTGAACCGTTTGGTTCCCATTGAAGTCCATTATATGGAGAAAAATCCTGGAATGTTTTCATCAAAAACCTTAATTTCTTTTCGACTGAGGAAAGAAAGACATGGACATCTTGGATGACATGGGGGTGAGTAAATTATCAGCAAAAGTTTTTTCAAAAGTGAACAACTCCTTTAACTTGAAGTAGTAAAGCATGCAGAGACATGTCTGATTTCTTAATTCGTCTAGATGCTCCATATTTACCAATTATCAGTGGTGTTTGCCAAGGCCCGCATCACTATGAAGAAAGTCCAGAGAGAGAGAGAGAGAGAGTGAAAGGAAGGAGTGGGTGGAGTGATGAGAAGATGCAGAAGTGTTTCCCTTGATCTGGATCACACCGGCGCTTGTGATTTCAACAGAGAATAATGCAAGATGCTTGACTTCCTTCATCCACTTCCACCTGATTTGAGTTCCTTAATTCTCTTGACTTAAAGAAACTGTGCAATCTCTATATCCGGATAGACAGCATATTGGTGTGAATAAATTGGTGCATTACTGGTGCATTTTTAACTAATTAAAACTTTATATTAAAGGACTTTTTCTTCTGGAGAAAATTAAAGAATTCAAACTTACTATTTCAAACACAGAGGCATAGAGAATATTTTGTTGCAATAACAGCAACACGTCTTAAAAATGAGTCTGACACATACATTTAGAAAAGATGATTCAAGAGAAAGACAAAAATCAGCGAGAAGTGAAAGAGACGGAGCACATTTCTTCTCGCGTTACACCGTATGATGACAGACAGATAGCTATTGTAATGTAGGTTACCCTTGATATGGGAAGCTGGGAAATTCTGATGGATGAACACAGAATCCGAAATTCTCCTTTGCGCCATGATCAAATGTCCTTGTGTGAGACACAGTTCACCTCAATGTCAAAAGTGCATGTGTATGTCAACCGAGGGCAAGATGATATCCAGCGCAGATACGTCTTTAAGATGTCTATAGAGCCCTTAAAGGAGTAGATCACTTTTAAAAAAAGCTTTTGCTGATAAGTTACTCACCCCCATGTCATCCAAGATGTCCATGCCTTTCTTTCTTCAGACGAAAAGAAATGAAGGTTTTTGATGAAATTCAGTACAGCATTTTCTCCATATAATGGACTTCAATGGGAACCAAACGGTTCAAGGTTCAAATGAGAGTTTCAGTGCAAACTGTTCAAAGGACTTTAAATGATTCCAGACGATGAATGAGGGTCTTATCAAGCGAAACGATCGCTCATTTAATAAATAAATAACAAAGTTTAAGTTTTATAAGCTCAAATGCTCGCCTTGCTCTGTTCTGTGATGCGCGTTCGTGACTCTCCTGTTCGAACTCGTTCATCAAGGCGAGCATTTGTGCTTATAAAACTTAAACTTTTTTATTTATTTTTTAAAAGAGCGATTGTTTCGCTTGATAAGACCCTTATTTATCGTCTGGAATCGTTTAAATCCCTTTGAACAGTTTGTAGTTTGCACTGAAACTCTCATTTGGACCTTGAACCCGTTTGGTTCCCATTGAAGTCCATTATATGGAGAAAATCCTGGAATGTTTTCATCAAAAACCTTAATTTCTTTTCGACTAAAGAAAGAAAGACATGGACATCTTGGATGACATGGGGGTGAGTAAATTATCAGCAAAAGTTTTTTTTTTTTTTAAAGTCTACTCCTTCAATCTGGAAAACATCTGTTTTGTACAAACAGCTGATAAACATCTTGGAAACAGCAGTTTTTGATACATTCTATGTCATAAACATTTTCCAAATGTCTATTTAACATCTGACACAAAACATCAGATGTTCCAGATGTAAATGCAGACATCAGATAGACACATCTCTGTGATGTACATGTGACAAACCCCGTTCTGTGAACAAACTTAAAATGTAAGATTGATATCTTGACACGCACATGGAAACTGTTACATATACAGTCAAACCAAATATTATTCAGACACCAGATATATAATTTGATATTTGTGTGTGCAGGACACTATAGTTCATGTATGTAAGTGCGGAGAGCAAAATAAAGTGAACTGTGACATATTACATACCCAATAACTCTTCACACAGTGATTATACCAGTAACATTTATACAAATTTGGGAACAATTCATACAATTTGAGCTAACCATGTTTTTCTCTAATTGCTAATGCTCTTTTTACACACAGACTGAACAACATGAAGCATTGCTTGGTAATCGGTTGATCTAAACTGGTATTAGTTAAATTTAACAGCTATTCAACATAATTCTGTGAGAGTCTAACAGAAGGACGGACAAAACCAGTTGAACATCAACTGTTGTCATACCATTTTCTAAACTATAGCGAATAAACTCTTATAATGTGAGAATTATTTCAGAATAAATTTGAACGTAAATGCCTTTTTCAACACATATGCTGTTATTAAACCTTTTTAGTTTTAGGTTATTTCTCATGCCCCTTTCGATGACCTATAATGTTGAAAATATATGGTAATAACCTTTTACAATGTGTCACACATTGCTCAAAAGTGAACACTTGCACTTCATATTAGTTTTAAAACGGGAAAGTGAGTGGTCATTGTAAGGTCAAGTGCCAACTACACGTCAGAGGATTGACCAACACCGTTTCTGCTATAGACTGTCCTTACAATATGACTCATAACGTAAAAAAAGAAGAAGAAGACAAAATATCAATAAAAGACTTAAACAATGAGGACATGATGACTAAGTCAGGGCAAAAAAGTAAAAAGACTAAATGGGCGGAGCTCAGAGAGGAATATAAAGCAGGGACATTCACACACAGAGAGAGAGAAAGCGAATAACCATTCTGTTCTCAGGTCAGCCCTCTCACTCCTGTCAGCTTTCATCTGAGCCTCTCGGAAGTCTTTGTTTGAGTAAACTCTCGCCTGTCGAAGTGAAGATGTGTGTCGTTGTTGCGGCTCTCCTGTTGTTATTCCTGAGCGGATCCACAGAGTTCGCCGAAGCCTGCAGTTGCTCTCCTGAACATCCCCAGCAAGCCTATTGCAATGCGGATGTCGGTAAGATTCCACGCGTTAACTGTTTCACATCCATAGCCATGTCTATATTATATTAATACAGTCTGTGTCGTGTGCGTATGGCAGCTTTAGCATGTCTATGCTCATGTGTCAACGAGACATTTTTAGTACAACTATAAACTTATAAAAACGGGCTATTCTATTGCTTTCCATTTAGACTACGTATTAATTACAAATGTAAAAGAAAAACTTTTTTTTTATAAGTGACTTATTGCTGGAATGTTATTGGGGTTGTTTATTGCCATTATTATGATTATTATGGCATGTTTTATACATGATGTGCAGAAAAGGCTTTTATTGTATCTAAAATTTTAGAAAATTCTAGAAGTATCAGAACTGGATCCGATTTCATACACTTTGGATTTTTTTTTTTAGTTCAATTCAGGGCAAATGTTAATCTAATAACTCAAAAGTCAGAATATTAAACATGCTCCCAAAAGGCACATGTTTATCGTCTTTTATTTTTATCTTGATAGTTTCATTCACTCTGTTTCATTTGCTTAATATTCTCAATTGACAGTGTGGATAATAATTGTATTGAATAGTTTCCTTGTTACACCTACTTACCATAGTAATAGTAAATTATGTATAATTACAAGCAACTAGCTGTAAACCAAACCCTAACACCATCCCTATAGTAATTACATGTTCATTAATATATTACTCAATTGGTGTGACAAGGACCAGAAATGGGTGGGATATCCCGATATAAGTATTGTAGCACGGTGTAAATCACAATATAGTTGCTGTTTTTGTGGCAATATAATTCAGTGAATTAAATACTGTAGAAATGAATGGTATTTTATCACTCATTTGATTATTTTATCTCTTTTTTTTTACTTCATAGTAAAAAAACAAACAAACAAACAAAAAAAAAAAAACATAAAGTTTATTCATAAATGAATGACGAGTATCGCATTATATAATAGGTAGGCTAATTAAAACAAAAGACTAAACATAACAATTAATATTCTGATGTTAAACTCTGATCGGATGATTCACTTTTCACAAGTCATTTTAAAACAGTTTTACACACACCTGTTAAATTCTGTATAATAATACAGAGGTGTGATGTAACTTGGCAACAATAAATAAACTTCCCTTAATAACATGTTCTGCTAAATCCTGACATGTTTGGGACACATCCTACTCTAATTGTACCCCATTAACCACACAATCCTAATGATTAGTACCTAAGAATAATTAAAAATAAATGTCAATTTGAAGCACTAGACAGAAAACACGTTTTCTCAACTTCACTTTGAAATAAATTTCACATATATATTTCTAAATGATCAATTTTGAGTATTAGGTTATTTATTTACTTATTCTCTTTACATAAAACACAATTGATTGCATATGATGCAATTGATGCATATATATTTAAAAAAGTAAAACCGCTACATTAGTTTATGTCCCTCAAACAGTCCACCCTGTTACATTGGTGCTATTTGCCCTTTAAAATCTTAAACCTAAATCACATAAATCACAAAAAACAAAGTAAGTGTTAGTCATAGACTTTTAGTAAGCCATAAAGACTTACCGAATGGCATAAAACATGTCCACCCTGTTGTGTCAGTTTAGATTGGATGTGAAAATGTTTATTTATTTATTTATACATTGGAAAAAACTCCTTAATGTTAAAGCTAATCATCTGCTAGCTAGCATGTTGTTCTTTTCTAGCTAGTAATGGGCATCATTATAGCTTAAGACATCCACCCTGTACTGTTAGTCTTTGCATTGTCATGTAACAGGGTGGAAAATATCCTATTTGATCTGAATTATTAGGTTACTTGAGCATTTTCTGATTTTTTGGGACACATTTTGTGCCTCTGATATTAACATTGTTTTTAACAAACCTGCTCAGTCCAAAATCCACTAAACTATAGGAATGACCCGTGTACCACTGCATGAACTATATTGCAGAATTTCTACAATGTTGAAGTGATGGGGAGAAGCGTATGCCTAATTTTAGCTGTATTGTGTCATTGTGTGTAACCCGCCTCAGATCCTCTAACCTTTGCTGTCCCTAGAATACCCTGCCATTACATGACCTGTGCGTTTTCCAATGTCTGAAGTAGCCCTGTGAGTAAAACCTCTTTCAACAGGATGATTACAACTGCAAAAATTGAGAAGTATTGCCACATGGTAGCAACATAATGTGGTTTGTCTTTGACGAAAGTTAGATGGTCATTACATGACTCTTGGGTCACTGTAGTCAGACCCCAGTGCCCACACGCCCACCTAGGCATTGAGTGATTGGTTGAAAACAACATCTGCCGCCCACCACAGGAATCGCCAATCTCATTCTCGTATGTGTCATCATGATGCTGGTCGTTTGAAACTCCCACGTCGGATTTGCCTGATGGTTTTGAGAGAGTCAACTCAAGTAGCGCTTACAACCCAGACAGTTTCAAAGCAGTTTCACAGTAATAAACAGGGAAATAACAGTGTTAATGTTGGTCAAATTAAATAATTATGGAACAAATTCAATTTCAGCTGTAAAGCAGTTCAACAGTTCTTGATTTAATTCAGTTCAATAACAGAATCAATGATGCAGAGGTCTTTGATTATTGCATACATTGATGGTCCGTTTACACGACACCGTCTTGAACTAAATGTGGAAAACTTTGTATTCGTTCATTTGGCCTTAAAATGGGTTTCAGCAAGTTTTTGACAACAATATTGTCTCCATGCAAACTACAAAAATGTGAATTTGTGAAAATACTGAGAACATATCGCCATCTACTGGCCTGGCATGAATAATACAGAACGGGGTGAACGGGGATCGTTTTTACAACATTGTCGTCTGTAAGCGAATTTTCATTTTTAGTACGTTGTTGTCATGTTAAACCCAAAGTGTACTCCATTTGATCGTGGGTGAATGCAATCGGTCGACACATTCGCTCTAGAAATTGTTACGCGATTCCCATATGACCTATTAAATGAACCATTAAATGAATAATGTGTAGGGCTCGCTTTCCCCCTCACATACCTGTAGCTGGAAACAGCGCACACACTGTGTGTCCCACTTCCACCTCGGTATGAAATGAATGTGTGGAAAAGGGAGGCTGTGATTAAATCAGCATAAACCCTGCATGTGTGTGTTACTGATGAGACAGGCATGCCTGACTTGAGACTGGGGTCCTGTGGGTGTATTTAGCATTCTGAGTGTGTGGCCAATAGAAAATACACTCTGTATTTGGGACTGAAAATGCGGACGGTATCAAAGTCCTTTTAGGCAAGTCATGCCACTCGGCCGCCATCTTGGCAACGCCTCCAGGCAGCTATTTCGGACTAACAAGACCAGGCTCCTATCTAAATGAATGGGCAGAGAGTCAGAACTGCACTTTCACTGGTCACCAGGAGATAAAAACTGCATGTATCCACAAGTTTCCGAGGGGCAGTCCAGTATAAAATAAAGTGAGTGAAACTTCCGGTGAGGCGGCGGAAGTAGCATTCCAATGGTATTTTGTGTGTTAGTTAGCGAAGAGGCTAGCTGTTTTTCGGAGAATTATTTTACTATTTAAAGTCGCAAATCTTTATGAGAGATGTCGTTACGGAGCTCAGGGACAACATGTGCTGTTCGCGGTTGTACGTATAACCGGACTAAACTAATTCAGTGGCTTAAACGTGATTGTTTTGAACATAAGCCGAAAACGAAATCAGAGTGATCCTGCCAGAGCCCGTCTCTGATCCTGCCAACAACTGTAGTTTCCATCACCTCCCAAAAGACGACGAATCTTCCTGTGTACATTTGTTTAAATTCTTAATATTCTATAAACTCTATCAGCATGTGATTGGCTGTTCGCTACTGATGTTACACCTAAACTCAGGATCTAAGCCTGTGTTGACAGAATACCAAATGTGCCAGTTAATGTATTCAAGTAGCACATTCATTTATAATTTTGAATAAACTCCAAAGCACAATGACTAAGTGTGTATTTTTTATTTTAATTGTTTGTCAGCTCGCACAACTGTCTGTCACCATGCCTTGATGAGTATTGATTATTAATAAAGTTATTATAATACTCCCAATCAACTACAGCGGAGGGTAAAGGTACAGTTATTTCACCCTTTTGAATTTCGTTGAGGTTGTGTTCCCACATCGTTAGCTAGTTTGGATCGCTATAACTTGAATGACTGTCAACTGTTGAATGAACGAGTGTGAAGTATGTCATGTCGCGCTTTGTTTACTTCGAACCGGACGACACGCCCACTTTTGACGCAAGGCCTCATGGGGCATAGGAAACTTGTGGATAGAAACAGCAGTAAAATATTATAAAAATCGCTGAAAAAGTTAAAACGCCCTTTTCCCCACAGGTTATACTTTTAGTACGCATGCACAAGGATTCTCGTGTACGCTGTTGCAAACCTCAAATGTGCGCATGCGTCAGTGGAACCAGACGATAGACTTAAATGTTTCCCTGCTTGACTGTTAAAAGCAGACGATTGGCTGTCCAGCAGGAGAGGCGGGACATGCATACAACCGCCATCTTTGGCGTTACGAGTTTTCCCAATATAGTTGTATTGAGGATTTAGGAAGTGATATGTCTCTATATAAATTGTTTTTGACGGTATGTATGGGCATTCGGATATATATGAGGGGAGGAGTTTTATAGGAATATGCTATCTCTCTTATTCTTATACAATACCTTTGAAAAGTTTGAGGTCAGTGAATGTTTTTAAAAGACGTCAGTAAATGGTCCTGAACAAAATAGTCACGCTTGTGCTCCTTGCGGTCAAAAATGTTCGCACTGGAAATAAATGGGAGATTAATTTCAACTAGTGGAAACTTATGGTACTGCAGGCAAACAAATTTGACTGAAAGCTAATTATTTGAGATATCAAGCTTAAATCTTGAACAAAAACTTGTTTGGATGCATGGCTTTGATTTTCTCACAGTTTTAGAGTGAACAATTGAAAATAGTAATTTTGCGCGTTTTTCATAGCAATAAACGTAAAATTCTGTCACTTTTTTAAGTTAACTTTTTAAAACTTTTTTCAACTTCAGCAATATTCTGCTAAGCATTCAACATTTACAACGAGTTTAAGTTGGAAATTACATTTTCATGTCTATGCTCAAAAACTGCATAAATGGATTATAAATACAGCGTAGATATAATTTAGGAACATAGAATCTCCTAAAAATACAAAAAAACATTATCGAACTAAAATATAGTACATTCATTTCATTGAAATAAAACAATTTTGTTCATTTTTGACCCATATGTGAAGAGCACCAGAGGGCTAGAGGAACTCTACTTTGTTCAACTGTACTTTGTTTGTTGATCCTGCCCACTGAATTTGCTTATTACAAAGAGATGAGTTTGGACTGAGCGTTTGGTATTTGTATGTCAGCAGCTCTGTGGGGCGTCCCGCTAGAGTCAGACTGCTGACTGGCTTCCTGAGAGCACATTCCTCACACGGCCCTCCGCTAATCAAACTCTCATGTGTCTCCATGCATGCGCCCAGCTCTCAGCACCTGTAGCACAGACACCAGATCAGTCATCTCTCCATACTTGCAGGATAACAGTTAAACGGCCCACAAAACATTTGAGGTTGAATGAATGCGTTTGTTTTTTCAG